TGAAAGATTATAAGAGAATATTATGAAAAATCATAGGCCAACAAATTGAACAACCTAGAAGAAATGGATAAATTTCTAGAAACATGACCTCCCACAACTGAATCTGGAAGAAATGAAAAATTTGAACAGATTAAATACTAGCAAAGAAATTGAATCAATAATTTAAAAGCTCCCAACGAACAAAAGTACAGGACCAGATGGCTTTTCAGGTGAATTCTACCACTTGTTTAAAGAAGAGTTAATACATATCCTTTTCTTTTTTTGAAAGAGAGAGAGAGAGCCCGAATGAGTGGGGGGAAGGGCAGAGGGAAAGAGAGAAACTAAGAATCCTAAACAGTCTCTACACTCAGTGCAGAGCCTGACGTGGGGCTTGATCACAGGATCCTGAGATCATGACCTGAGCTGAAATCAGGAGTCAGATGCTTAACGAACTGAGCCACCCAGGCTCCCTGAGTTAACACCTATTCTCAAACTATTCCAAAAAAGGAGAAGAGGAAGGAAAGCTTCTGAATTCATTCTATGAGATCAGCATTCACCTTGGTACCAAAACCAGGCAAAGACACTACAAAATAAGAGAACTACAGGCCAATGTCTCTGTTGAACAAAGATGTAAAAATCCTCCACAAAATACCAGGAAACCAAATCCAACAATATATTTAGAAAGATCATTCACCACGTTCAAGTGGGGTTTATTGTTGGTGTGCAAGGGTGGTTCAGTATTCATAAATCAATCAACTTGATACATCACATCACTAAGAGAGTTTTACCATAAGGTCACCTCAACAGATGCAGAAAAGCATTTGACAAGGTACAATATCCATTCGTGATAAAAACCCTCAGCAAAGTACATTTGGAAGGAACATACCTCAACGTAATAAAGGTCATATGTGACAAGCCCACAGCTAACATCATTCTCAATGGGAAAAAATTGAGAGCTTTTCCTCTGTGATCAGGAACAAGATAAGGATATCCCGTCTTACTACTCTTTTTCTTTTTTTATCCACTCTTACCACTTTTATTAAACATGGTACTGGAAGTCCTAGCCACAGCAATCAGACAACAAAAAGAAATAAAAGGCATCCAAACTGGTAAGGAAGAAATAAAACTTTCACTACTTGTAGATGACATGATACTATATATTAAAAAAACCCTAAAGAGTCCACCAAAAAACTACTAGAATAGATAAATGAGTTCAGTAAGGTCACAGGATACAAAATCAGTATATAGAAATCTGTTGCATTTCTATACACTAATAATGAAATAGCAGAATGAAAATTAAGGAAACAATCCTATTTATAATTGCACCCAAAATAATAAAATACTTAGGAATAAACTACCAAGGAGGTGAGAGATCTGTACTCTGAAAACTATAAAACATTGATGAAAGAAACTGAATATGACACAAAGACATTCATTCCATGCTCATAGACTGGAAGAACAAATATTGTTAAAATGTCCATACAACTCAAAGCAATCTACACATTTAATGCAATCCCTATCAAAATACCAACAATATTTTGCACAGAATGGGAACAAATAATCCTAAAATTTCTTTAGAATCACAAAAGACTCCCAATAGCCAGAGCAATGTTGAGAAACAAGAACAAAGCTGGAGAAAACCAATCCCAGATTTCAAGATACACTACAAAGTTGCAGTAATCAAAATAGTATGTCACTGGCACAAAAAGAGACACATAGATCAATGGAACAGAATAGAGTCCAAAAATAAACCCACACTTTATGGTCAACTAATCTATAACAAAGAAGGCAAGAATACACAAGGGGAAAAAGATGATCTCTTCAATAAGTGGTACTGGGAAAACTGGACCACTTTTTTTTACTACATCATATACAAGAATAAACTCAAAATGGATTAAAGACCTAAATAGAAGCCCTGGAAAAATAAAACTCCTAGAAGAAAACATGAGCAGTAATCTCTTTGACACTGACTTTAGAATATTTTTCCAGATATGTTTCCTGAGGCATAAGAAACAAAAACAAAAATTAACTATTGGGACATCATGAAAATAAAAAATTTTTGCACAGCAAAGGAAACAATTAACAAAACTAAAAGGCAACAAAATGAATAAATGATAAAATAAATAAATAAATTTTTATTCCTACTGAATGGGAGAAGATATTTACAAATGACAAAATAAGGGGTTAATATTCAAAATATCTAAAGAACTTATAAACTCAACACCAAAAAACCCCCAAATAATCCAATTAGAAAATGGGCAGAGAGGTTGAATAGACATTTCTCCAAAGAAGAAGACAGCCAGATGATGAAAAGATGCTCAACATCACTCATCATCAGGGACATGCAAATGAAAACCACAATGTAATATCACTTCACACCAGTCAGAATGGCTGGAATAAAAACAAGAAACAAGTGTTGAGGATGTGAAGAAAAAGGACCCCTCATGCACTGTTGGTAGGAACATAAGCTGGTGCAGCCACTGTGGAGAACAGTATGGAGGCTCCTCAAAATATTAAAAATAGAAATATGATATGATTCAACTATTCCACTACTGGGTATTTACTCAAAGAAAACAAAAACACTAATTCAAAAAGATATATGTACTCGAAGTTCATTGCAGCATTATTTACAATAGCGAAGATATCTATCCGATAGATGAATGGATAAACCAGTGGTATATATACATAATGGAATGTAACTCAGTCATCAAAAGGAATGAAATCTTGCCATTTGCAACAACATGGATGGACCTAGAGGGTATTAGCTAAGTGAAACAGAAACACAGTCAGAGAAAGACAAATGCCATATGCTTTCACTCATATATGAAATTTAAGAAATAAAACAGATGAGCAAAGGCAAGAAAAGACAAAAAAAACAGACTCTAATATAGAGAACACACTGTTGGTTGCCAGAGGGGAAGTGGCTAGGGGGATGGATGAAATACATAAAGGGGATTAAGGAGTGCACTTGTGATGAGCACTGAGTAATGTACAGATGTGTGAAATCATAATATACACCTGAAGTGAATTTAATACCATATGTTAATGGTACTTGAACAACAACAAAAAACAATCACATGGGGAGGTCCTTCTGCAATCTTTCAAACTGCATGACCCCTGTTGGGTTTGTGGTGCTCCCTCTCATGGAGGCTCACTCATGTGTGGGGGTGCTGGCTCCCTTGTAGTTCTCTCCAATGGATGGTGAGAACTTTGAGGGCAGTGGCTGTGCCTTATTCATGTCCTCCGGTCTCAGGGAGTCGATAAGCATTCAATGGACAACCCATGATACAAGCTAGACCTAGGATCTCATCAGTCTCTTCACAGCTATATGCTTAGAAGCATCCATGTCATTGTCCCCACATGCTCATATTTCCCTCTCTTATTTCCCACATTGGGTCTGTGCTTTCCTCAAGCCCTTCAGAACTGAAACTGCATAGCACACACCATTAATGATCCTCTAAGACCAAATACAACACATTATTTCCAGCCTTCATTTCTTTGTCTTCTTCCCAGCACTAAACTCCATGGACAAACTATCTCCTCCTCCACTTCACTGTCTTCGGACTCTTCCCAACTCAATTCCTCCACAGACTTCTGGCTTCTTGTCCTCTGCTTACCTTTGTGACAAGGTTTTCAGCCTACCTCTACCTTGTTCTACACAATCTCCTTGGGCATTCCCTTCTATTCCTATGGCTTTAGCTACCACCACTATGCTGGGATTCCAACACCGATCTTCAACTCAGATTACCTGTAAGCCCCAAAGGTACCCAAAGCGTAAACTTGACCAAAACTGCCTCAGGATCTGCTCCTTTCCCTATATTCACCTCTCATGGGGAGCGGAGTCTCTATCCACTCTTTGTGCCTAAGCAGAAGTCTGAAGTCTTAACTTCCTCCTCCCTCCTCCCCACTCACATACAAGAGGTCTCCCAGGCCTGTTGATTCTACCCCTGAACATCTCAGAATCCACTGCTCCCTCTCTCTTCCCACTGCTGGTGAACTTGCATTAGCTCCTCACATCTCTTTTATTTGTTTGTTTATTTATTTTTTATTTATTTATCAAGAGACAGAGAGAGAAAGAGAGAGGCAGAGACACAGGCAGAGGGAGAAGCAGGCTCCTTGTGGGGAGCCTGGTGTGGGACTTGATCCCAGGACCTGGGATCATGCCCTAAGCCAAAGGCAGATGCTCAACCACTGAGCCCCTCAGGCGTCCCTCCTCAGCATCTCTTACCAGGGTGACCACAAGTGCCACCGAAATGGCTCCCTCCATCACTCTCTGGCTTTCTCTTCTACCTGGCACACTCAGCAGCCTGACTACGGTTTCTACAATGCAAAACTGACCATGTCAATCGTCTGCTAAAAGCAACACCTTTCCCAAACTTCCAGGTGTAAAGTCACGCCTCTGCCTACCTCCCCAAGAATGTCTGGCACCATCCCCTCTGGACTCCCGGCTCCCCTGCAATCCTGGAGTTCCTCACCGCCACGCCTCTGTTCCGGCTGCTGGCTTGGCCTGGGATGACCGTCCTTTGTCAAAGTGCAGCCCATGGATTCCAGCCTCTGTGAAGCTTTCCTAACACCACTGTGTCTCCACTGTACTCTGTACAGACATTACGCACAGCACTGTCTCCCTTGACTAGGGAGGCCACGAGGGGCAGAACCATGGTTTTCATCATAGAGTGTTCAGAACCCAGCACAGTGCCTGATACACAGCACTTAATAAATGAAGCATTTATCAGCGACTTCCACGGAGAGATGTGGGGTGATATTCTCAGGGTGCACACCCTTGGCCCTGGCAAATTTAATTAATGCCATAGCATTTGTACCATTATGGGCAAGTCAGCATGCCATCATTTCCCAGGGGACCAGCATACTGGAACTCAGCGTTGCTTCACTTAGTTTATATAGAATAAAGCTGAGGCAGAGAAGCCACCGGGAGAGGGCCTCTGAGAATCACACCCATCACCCCATGGGCAAGAGCCATCTTACACTAGAGGTATGATAGGAACCCTGGCAGAGAAGCTTACCTTGTGCCCCAGAAGCTCCTTTGGGCATGTGGGTTGGACCTGTTCAGAGCTTTCTTTTCCACAGCACTGAAACTAGAGAGTCAGAAAAGAGCTTTTAGGGCCCAGGAAGGGGAAGTAGGAGCTCCAAGTCTGGGCATCACTACTGAGGACTGGAGGACTGAGCAAAATGCCATTTCTAGAAAAAGAGAAGAGTCACATACTCATGCTAGCAAAACAACAAAGGACTTCTGTCAAGTTGTCTGAGTTTGAGGATGGGAAGTGACTCAAGGCAACCCAAACAAAGCAAGAAGCCAATTGATGATATCTGTGTAAATTGCTATTTTTTAGACAGGAATTGTGTCTTTAGGTTTGTTTGTTTGTTTTTCAGCCTGGGAGTCATTTAACCTGCTGAGTAGCTAATGTTTTATGAGCTTTAGGTAGGGCTCTTTAACTGAGGACAGGCTGGGACAGAGAGGAGGAGTGGTCATAGTAAATAAAGCCTGGGTGCTAAAATGTCAGGGCCTGAAGGCTGGCCAGCCAACAGGTGTCCTGCCTTGGGGCCGGCCCCTCAAAGACAAAGGACAAGGAATGCTGCCTGGTGTCCTTGGGGTAGCTGAGGCTGAACAGGATCCAGGGTTGGCACCTTCCAGGACATTCCTGTGACAAACAAGAATGGAGCTACCTGAAAGCATGTGGCCCAGGAGTTCATAGCTACTTCTCTGCATCACAGGGGTTAAGAAATTGGGATGACTCCAGCCCGGCCCGTCTCCTCTGGAAGCCCCTCTTGGTTAACTATGTGTAGCTTTCAGCACTGCACTGACAGCACAATCCCACCAATGTTCTAGGATACAGGGAGCATCGCTGTCTCTGTGGCCTTTCATTTTGTAATTGATTCTGTTACACCACAATGCCACCTTTTGAGAGAACTTGGTATTTATTTGGGCTGCTTTCTGGGTGTTCTTATTTGTGCTCTTTTGTCTCTCTGGGGCACATTGCCTGATTTCTTCTTGTGAACTCTGTGTGCTAGGCCTCTTCCTCTTCTAGGTTCTACACTCGATGCCAACTGTGGCTCCCATGAGGGCTGAAATACTGTGCTATAGCTTGGCTTCATCAAATTTATTCTGATCTTTAATCAGGGGTTAAGAGAGAATCTGGTTAATGAATGATCTTTAGAAGGAATTAAGGAAGAATGAAAGTTACTTACTGTTGAGTGGAAGGTAATGAGAGTCCCATTTCCCCTTTCCTTGTCTTTCAGGTAATCATTATAAGCTTCTTCATACATGGTCTGAACATGTCGTATAGCCTGAAAACATACCAAGGGACAGTGAGTGGGAAGTTTCAAATATTCTCCTTTCATTAAGGAAAATCCCCTATTCCTTACTCTTGGAAAATATAGTCCTTCCCTATGTTCATCTGTATTTTAAGATAATTCTGCTTATATGGGATGGATTATAGATTCTGAAATTTCTCGGATACTTTTGGAGATGGAAGGATAGACTAAGAATAACTTTCATAGCCTAGAAAGATTTTTTTTAGAGTGGAGCTTCTCAAACCTGAATGGTTTGAGGCCCATCAGCCCCACCCAGGAGATTCTCATGTACAACGAGTGGGGACTTAGGCATTCTTGGTACCACCCTGGTTAAAAGTCCTCGAGTCTATTCATGACGTGGTTTGAAAGATGTTCATGACCAAGGAAAACTGGTTCAGCATACAAATATCATGAATTCAGGGAATGCTTTTTCTGGTATAAAGGCATGTGATCTGACATCCATAGAGATCTCAAAAAGTCCAAAGATCCAATTCTTCCAACCTACAAATATAACCAGATACTTTAGCAATATCCCAGAGGAGGTGTTACTTATTCCACATGTTTACCATTTAAAAAAATCTATAATGAGTTCATAAACACAATATTGGTAGCACATGAATTTATGTGAAATACAGTAAATTAAGTTTCCTTCCCTCCTCCTTTTCACTCCCCTCTCTCCCACAGTGTGTCTTAACACAGGGTGTTCCTTCTAAAAAGGCCTCTTCCTCCGTGAGTTCTCCTGATAACCTATTTTAGACACCTATAGTTTGAGCACCAATTTAAATAAACTCTCACCAGCACGCAGCAGGCCAGGCTCTAGTCTTTGAGGGTAACGTGGCCTCTTTCCAGGCCAAGCCCGATGGACAAATGATAGTCTAACAAGGGATGAAAATGTGTGTTCCTCTCCATCCCTCTTTTTCATATATGCAATCTACTTGCTTTCCTGTTACAAATGGGATCATCTTAAACTAGAGATCCTTTAAAAAAAATCAGACACCTTTATAAATCTAGCAAAAGCTATGAATTACCTCCTCAGAAAAATATGTGCACATATATGTATGCACACTTACACATACAACATATATAGGCCTGTATAATACTTTCAGGTTAAAAAGTTCTGTGTAAATGATATATGTGGGGGTTATTTAGTTTTTCAGTATCATTGTGGGTGAACTATTCTCATAGCCTTTGCCATGAAGAAATACTTTAACCATCATAAAAAGTAACTGTAATTTCTACTTACTACACCCTTGCCTATAAAAGCAAATACTCCAGTGGTTACTTCAGCAGCAAATATCACCAGTAGGCAGGTAAAGAACTGCAGAGGAGAGAAAATACGCATTTCACTAACTCAACGCCTTTTCTATTTATTTGGCCTCTTTAATACTAGTTCCATTTGAAAAACATTAGGCAAGGTTATTCGTTTGCATTGATCTGGTAGGAAGCATTTACCCCCATCCCCCTGTAGTTTGTTTATTCTTTCATTTGCTCATTAATTTATTCAGCAATTGTTCATCGAGCATCTACTCTGTACCAGGCACTGTCCTTGGCACTGGATATAGAGTGGTGAATAAGATATGACCCCAATGTCTGCTATCACAGACCTCCTATTAGAAAATGGGAAGTATGATAAATGAGAAAGGAATAAAAAAGTGAGTTAGATAATTCCAGGTAGTGATAAAGAAATCCCACCACTTTGAACAGTGCCTGGCACCTAGGCGCTCAATGAATTCTTGATGAACAAAAGAGATTTTATAAAGATTTAAAACAAGACTGGGAGATAGGGAGCGACTGGTTGGGCCTGGATTGGGGAAGGTGTGACCCACACTGTGTGGGCTGAGAGGCTTCTCTGGGGGGTGGGAATGGCGGGGAGGGGCATTCTCCTGGACCAATTTCTGTTCTGGTCTCTTGGGTCTACTCTGTGTTCAGTGATAAGCAACAGGGATGCTCGGCAACAGGGGAAAGACAGGTAGAAAGGAGGACTGCAGAGATGATTTAGAGATTTTATACAGCAAGAGGTCAGAAGGAGGAGGCACAGTTAAAAATCAGCAATTATGGTAAGGAGAGACTGCCCACTAAAATTGCTGTTTCTGACTCTTCATGGAGAAAGACAAAATCTTTCTCTCTTCTGGCCTCTCTTCCTTCTCCTGTTTCTCTCAGGTCACTCTGCCATTGGATGTATAGCAGTAACCGAAATTCTTTTTTTTTTTTTTTTTTTTTTTAAAGACAGAGGCTTCTTGTTAAAATAAACCACCAGAGGGGCGTTTGGTGAAGTTACTGATCTCCAAGAGCAATTTTTTTTCTTGTAGTTAAGAGCACCTCCCTGCCTATAGGAACCTTAGCCACCTCACTCACTGTGAAATCATTGTGATAGAATGATCATAATGACCCTGTACAATTATTAGGCACTTTAACTCCCCAAACATCTTCACACTAATGACCTCATTTTTTTTTTCATACTTTCCATATGAGGCAGGGACAAAGACAATATTATTCTTAAGTGAGAAATGGAGAAATGGAGACTCAGGGAGAGGGAGTGAGTGCCAAGGTCTCCGTGGCCCTGAGGAACTGGCACTGGAGGCCAGACCTCTGGGCCCCCTTCTGGGCCAGTTCCACCCCGGACGCCCCACTTACGGATCCGAGCACACACTGCGACTCCCGCATGGCCCCGCAGCAGCCAAAGAAGCCCACGGCCATCATCAAGGCCCCCGCTCCGACCAGCACATACAGCCCTGTGGGGAGAGTCACAGGAGACACTGACTGCTCAGCCCACTGGCTGCCCCACCGCTCCAGGTGTCCCCACCCGGCACAGGCACCGTGTTGTGTCTGCTGCTGATAGGGTGTTACCCACGGGTACCCTCGCTGAGTGCACCTGACTCAACCTGCAGAGGATCCCGAGAGGCAGGGGCTACTGTCGCCCCCGGTGAACAGAGAAAGCTGATACCTATGGGGGTGAAAGGACCCCTCACTGTCACTTGAGCGGCAAGGCTCCGAGAGCTCCCGTGTCCGACTGCCACATCTGATGCTCTTACTCACCTTGGCATGCCTCCCACAGGCCAGGCACTTTACCTTTCAGATTTCTGCCCCCTATAAAGTGGATAGTACTCTTCTTTGCATGAAAGTGATGCAGCAGGTCAGGTGTCTGCGCCAGAGCCGGGACATAAACCCACTCCCCTCCAGGAACCCCTTGGACTCTTGTGGCACCCTGGACTTCATGACTATCTCCGTCATAACAGAGTCCTTGAGGACCAAGTGGGAGGGCAAAGGGCTGATGGTCTGCCCAGATGGGGAAGCAGGGACAGAGAGGGACAGAAGAGGGAGGCTTTGATTAGGGATGGGGTTGGGAGGACACAGCAATAAAGCCATCACGTTCTGTGAGAATCAGACTTGAGAGGGCATTACCATGGACACTGAACACACCAGAGGTTGCAATGTTCCAAGAAAACAGCCAAGGAGAGAAGGCGACAAGGTGACACAGACCAAATACCATTACTAATACAATATTAGCTGCATTTATTACGGGCTGATTTTTTTTCTAGGTACTGTTCTGAGCAACTGGCACAGATTTATTAATTTAATCTTCGTGAGGTAAGGTACCATTATTATATCCATTTTATAGAGAAACTAGGCCCCCAAAGTTTAAGCGATTTGCCCAAAATTGCTGGGATGAGCTGAGATGAAAATACCCATCTGCCTCTAAAGCCATCTCATCACCATCACCCTAAGGGGCACTGCCTCTCCAGCAGTAACAGCACCCTTAACCTGGGTGCTAATTTCCCTGACTGCTGAAGTCAGGCCATAGGAACTGTGGTTCTCACAGAGAAAGAAAAGGACAGATATGTTCTTGTTCTGAGAGAAATAAAGCCAAGCCCTTTCTTATTTCCTTTTCTGATCCTGAGATAAGTTAGAACACAATGTGACGCCTGGTACTTGCCTTGCTTGGAATAATGCTAATTGTCCCTATTTTATTTTTTGCATTTTATTCATGTGAGTCACCTGAAACCCCTCCCATTCGCAGAAAGGGTGGGGAGCCAGCGTTCCACCTCTGCGGGGAAAGCCTGCCCTCAGGGTACCTCTGCCTCCTCCAGGGGGGCCCTCTGGGGTGCTGCCGGTGGTTTGTGGGCAGATCTATCTAGTGTCTGGGGTGGCAGGCCAGGCTGCTGGGCTTCCTGCACCACCCAGGCTGTTCTCAGGGCTTCTGGGACGGGGAAGCCCTGCTGTATCCTCAGTCCCCTGGTAGGTATTTATTGCTTTCCTGCTCTGCCTACTTGGCTACTTCCTCCCCTTTCCTTTTTGGTGAAAACCAAAAGAATGATTTCATGTAGATTGGACGTAGTAATGAGAGAAATGATTCCGTATTAAAAACAGTGCTACTGTTAGCTCCACTGCCTAACACCTCATTGTTTAGAAATTTTATTTCTCAGAGCTCTTTCATTGCCATCATCTCCCTGGTTTCTCCAACAACCCCCATAGGTAAGGCAAGTGTTCTGCTTCTGTTTTGCCAACGAGAGTCAGAGGGGCATGATGGCTGTAGGCAGGACACACAGGCCTGGAGACCTGATTCCCATCCTATTTCAAAGAGGCTGTGCAGGACCTTATTCAGTCCCCCCACAAAATGTCTCAGGGGTGGACTGCCTTATTATATTAATTTCCCATTTAAAGTGTTTACAGTCTATAGGTTCTGCTCAGAGCAACAGTCTAGGGACCTGGCCTGCCTGGATCCTTATCTAGCCTGGGTTCTAGCCACAGAGGAATTTACTGTGATATGACCTGGCCGGCTCCCTTCCATTTTCTGCTTTTGCGGGTGCTCTTATTTGTCTTTCTCTGAAGATCTGAGGTCCACTAACTAACCTTCTTCATCCTATCTAGGATATGCTCAGCACAAGACAGAATTCTTGATCAGACTGGCTGTCCGCCATTGCCACGTGTTTGCTTAGAGATACATGCTAGGAATACATTTCAGCAAACACTCATGGAGCTCCCATAGGGTTGGGCTCTCTCAAGGCCAGGCAAATGAGCACAGGGATGCACACACTGAGAAAGGGTGCCTGAGAGTCTGGAATGGAGGAAAGAAGGCAGCTCCTGAGGAGGTTAGGGTGTGGGGGACATAGGCACAGGGCCTGAGGAGGACACAATTGTTCCCCACTGCAGACAAGCTCACTCAGTCCCTTGGGCCACAATCTTTGCCCTTCTAGAATAACGATCTCCTCAAGAAAATCTGCTTATTTGTACTGTAGTCCATTCTTAGGCTATCAGAATCCTAGAGTTCAGAGGAAAAACATCCCTAAACTGACCTAGCAGCTCCAGTTCCTGAGGCCTCTCCCCAACAATCAAAAAGCTTTGTCTGTATGAACTCATTTAAAGTGGCTCCCCATCCCCGCCTGCCATGGGACTGGATGAGGCACGCTCATCAATTTCTGTGGCTTTTTGGTGGTAGATGGTTTTACCCATCTACCCAGCTAATAATCATTTTTCATCTGAGAATATTTTTCTCTGCCTCTGTGCAACTCTCCCTCCCTTCCAGCTTGCCCTGGATGCACGTAATTATATATGTGTGTGTATATATACATATACATATACATATACATATATATGTATATATATATATATTATATATATATATTATATATATATAATATTGTACAGGACCTAGCTTCTGGGGAAGGTAAAGACTTGGGCTCTATGTAAATCACAACAGTGATGGGTTACTGCATCTTGTTCTATGTAGCTTGACATGTCTTAGTCATGGGGTCATTCAGCACCAGAGTGACAACCACCACTTCCTGGCACTTTGGCCTGCTCTGTGCTGCATCCACGTGGCGCACTTAATAGGCATCAGCTCGGAAACCTGCCACCTGAGAAGTATCAATGCTGTCAACTACTCTCTCATTCTGATGACGTGGCTCTAAACCACTCCTTATCTGTCTCTCATCATATTCCCCCATGTAATTAGGCTTCCTGTAGGCTGGCTCCTTCCATATTGAGGAACACAATGACCTACCTACATAAAAGAACAAAACCTACAGCATATATCACACTTATGAGTTCTCTTCTGTTAAATCACCTCATGCCATGAGGTCTGTGGTATGTTAGTGTTCATATTCCACAACCGGGGAAACCAAGACACAGAAGTGAAGGCATTTACCTGAGACTGCACAGCTAGTGAGGGGCAAAGCTGGAGAGTCTGCTCCAAAATCCACACCCTGACTCCTCTGGTGCAATTCCAGCAGAGCTCAGAGGAATGGGGACTCTCAGCTAAAAAGCTGTTCACTTTGCAATTATACATGCCAAGAGGATGCTCTTTCTTTTTCCTTGAGGAAAGTGCTTGAGGAATCTCTAATGGATGAAGGTTTTCCTCTGAAAATACAGGGCTGGGAGCCAGACCTCTGGACCTGTCAACTGACCTTTAGGTGCGTCCTCTTAGAATTCCTTAGTTTTGTTATCTGCGATTTGGAAATAAGAACCTAACTTGTAAAAATGTTTTGGAGAAACCGTCTCAACCATGTAAGCTATAGCATGTCACTTCTGCAGCCCCTACAACACTCAGGTAAAACTGAAAAACAAGAAGTAAAACAGTATTATTGGAGTGAGTCCGAGTTTTTAAAAAGGCAAGCCAGCTCCTCAGCATTCAGTTCTGAAACCCTTTCCTTCCACACAAGGTCCAGCTGCAATCAAAACCAGGCTCCCAGACCCTGCATTCAACACAGAGAGAAGGCTACAATGGTCAGCCTGTAACCCTGACGAGCCACACGGCTGCTATTTGTGTGCTCAGAAAGACCTGCCACCATCCTTGCTCACAGACAGGACTTCATGCGCCCCAGCACATGCCACCTGTCTGGGCTTCCAAGGCTGGAGGGGCCAGCTCCCCACTCAGCACTCCTACAAAGAGCCCCTGCCCTGTCACTCTAGGAGGCAGCCCTAGCTGGGGATTGCAATAGGAAGTCGGAGGGGCTGGGGCTCCTGGGTGGCTTGGGCAGTTGAGCGTCTGCCTTTGGCTCAGGGCGTGATCCCGGGGTCCTGGAATCAAGTCCTGCATCAGGCTTCCTGCATGGAGTCTGCTTCTCCCTCTGCCTGTGTCTGCCTCTCTGTGTGTCTCTTATGGATAAATAAATAAAATCCTTAAAAAAAAAAAAAGGAAGCCAGAGGGGCAGGCTGATGGAGTTTGGATGACGAGAGGTAGGGGAGCTACCCCCAGGAGTTCATTGAGAGAGACTACAGCAGAGAGAGTGCAGGAAACCCCAAGTTGTCCAAGCAGGTCCTCTCTTGCTGGGCTCTCTATTTTCCCCATCAGCACCCCAGGGACACAGACAGCTTACATCAGCCTCCAGACCTTGCCCTGGTTCAGAGGACCCTGAGAAGGGGCAACAAGTGGCATTCTGATTGCCCTTACCCCCTGCCCTCAGTATCCCCAGCTCCTGCTCACCCTCAGGGATCAGTGCTGGATCTCTCCACCCTGGCGCCAGCTGTGATGTCAGGATGGGTCTTTGTCACAAGAGGGAACCTCTCTCCATCATAAGGAGGAGGAAGCAAAGATCCCAGACAGGAAAGTATTCCCCCAGGGACAGAGGAAGTTCTACAAAACCTAAGCAGTCACCTGCCCAGAAGCAGGCAGCTAGACCACGTGTGCTCCCAAGACCCCTCCTGCAGAGGGGACTCGAGGCTGTGAGGCTCTATTTCTTTAACAGCCACTTGAATGTGCCAAGCCCGGTCACCAACACTCTTTAACAAAGGG